GGGAGTGAGGAGGAGATGACCAGCGCCGAGACGCACCTACAGCAAAATTAACTCCAAATTCGAGGCGATTCGTGGTTTTCCATAAACACGGCGTTTGGCTGGTGTTTAGATCTGGAGCAGGGAGAAGCTCGGGATGAAACCGTGGGGGCGGTGGGAGGATGGGACACGGTGCGGGGCTGCAGCGCTGGGACGACGGCGAGGGCTGCCCGGGGGGAGAGTGTGCGGGCACATATACCCACATATACAACCGCAGCCCTGCGGGGGAGCCCAGGGGGGTGGTTTGTGCCTCCCTTCGCCCGCCCGCGGTCCCCCGGGACAGGGCGAGGAGCGGGGCCGGGACGGTGGGGCAACCCCGGCGCCTCCGCCTGGCTCGGAGGGGCGTGGGGAAGGGGAGCCTGTGAGTATTTGGGGAAGAAAGGCCTCGGAATATGGAAAATCTGCGCCTGGGTGAAACCCGAGCTCAGCGGGAAGGGCAGCGCGCAAACAGCGCGGTGGGCCGCGGGGATAGGGGGCAGCGCAGGTTCCGCGGGGAGCGGCTCCTCGCCCCTCCGAGGGCTCGGGGGGGTCCTCGAAGTTGTCTTTTCTCCGCACGGCGGAAAGTCCCGCGGCCGCGGAGCGCCTGCCGCCCCCAGCTTGGGTTTCCCCAAAGGCGAACTGGGGCTAAATAATGGATCGATCTAAAATTAACCGGAGGAATGGAAATGCTCTAAAAATAAGCCAGCAGCTGCCGTGGTCGCAGCCCCCCGCTCCCGTGGGGAAGGGGGAGTGGGGCCGGCCGGAGGAGGGGGCGCGGGCAGGGCCGGGCGGGCTGCGCGGGGCGGTGCGGGGCGATCCTCGCAGATCTCCGCGGGCGCGGGGCTGCCGGCGGAGCGGGGGCAGCTCCGCACCTCGGCGCGGACGGAGCTCCCCAAAACTCCACCGCTGTCAAACCGGTGATTTTAATTTTCCTTTGCATTTCTATATTTTTAATAATTTTTATTTGCGCTCGGAAGCGTTTTGGGGGAGCGGCCGGTCGCCTCCCCCGGCATCACCGGCCGGGCCGGGGGGCGGCCCCGGGGGCTGCGGAGCGTGTGGGGGAGCAGCCCCGCAGCGCCGGGCAGGGAGCGGGTCCCGGCCCGCTGCGAGCCCCTCCGCGCACACACACACACACACACACACACACTCACACTCACACTCACACACCTCCTCCTCTTCCCTCTTTTTGATCCATGCAGCGATCCCATATCCTCCCGGCTTGTCTCTTTTATTCTTTTGTACTGAGGCGCGTTGTCCTGGCCAGCAGTGTGAACGGGGGCTTTGTAAAATGGGACAGATAAAAATGAGCAACATCATATTGTTTGACAGAATGATCCAAAATGATAAAATGCCTTCTCCGGAGGGGGTGAAAATGGTGAATTCCTAAAAAACAAGAGCGTCGCTTCTCTCCTCAGCCTCCCTGCGCTGCTCGCTGTAGCCTAAAGGGATCTGCCGCCTGCACCAGCCCGGATCACGTCCAGCCACTCTTTTCAATGGGAAGTCTCTTTTTAAAAGCCTTCATTTATTTATTTTTAAATAAATAAAGGGGGGGGGGGAGCGGCTTCGTCTCGGGACCCCCCGTCCTCCTCGCGGTGAAAAGCACAATTTTCGAGAGAAAGGCTCGTTTTGATTAAATCTGACATGCTGCTGATAACTCCATGCTAATGTGAAATAATTAACATAATAGCCATAATTAAAAGCACGCTAACAATGCCATAAATTTATCACACAATTTTACTAGCTTTCTGCCCCTAACTGCTCTCTCATCGTTAATTAAACGTGTTGCCTTTTACAGAATGGATGTTTATACATTTCCAATACAAATAAATCCGAAGCCGTTTTGGAAACATGACCAATTTCGTTTTACACTGAGATCTGCCGGGTTTACGGGCGATTTATTACAATTAAAAAAAAAAAAAAAAAGAAAGAAAAGAAAAGGAAAAAAAGGAAGAAAAGAAAAAAGGAAATCAAACGTGTCCAAATAGAGGCCTAAAAAAATAGGGGAGAAAAAGATACATATTTGATAATCTGCATCTTTAGTGAAAAGCCTGGCTGGAGCGGGGGTCCAGGCGCTGCCACTCTACCCGCTCCGGCCCCGGCCCCGGTCCCAGTCCCAGTCCCAGTCGGGGGATGTTTGTGTGTCCATGTCGTGTCCCTCCCCTTGGATGTGTTTATTTTACAGGGATTTCTCACCCGCAGCCCCTCTCCTGCGAGCCCCTTTACCCCTGCACGTTTGTACAGAACGACAATGCTGGTTTAATCCAGGTCAGGTCAACGATTTATATAACTCATTAGTGAAAGTAATAGGCTTAAGGAGCTGAAAGGGGACACCTTTGGTTTCTCCTTCCTTTAAAACGATTACAGAAGCAGAAATTGCCCCAGCCCTGCCTTTACTCCTCAATGTCCCCCACCCCCGAGGCTCAGCCTCCGGATTTATTTTTAACTAGCTTCGCAGCCAGGATCTTGCTTTGCCATATTAGAATCAAATTGAGTTGTAATTAATTTCTCCCTCTCTATCATAACTTATTCCATCCTCCCTTTCCACGCTGCTCTGCCGTGTCTCTATTTGACTCCGTATCGATCCGGACGATACAGTTTGTTTTTCTCCTGTTGCTAAATCTATCTGTCTATATGGGCGCCCACTTTCTATTTCTGGCCGTGTCATTATTGAGGGTTTCCACCTCCACAGAAGCTGCTTTAATTATTTTATCGCTTTGCAGGACGAAGTTCCTGCTCCCGCTCCCCTTCAGCCCTTGAACTTCGATGGGTTCGGGGCTCCCGAGATATTTGGGGTAAACTTTCCTGATTTTTAGAAAAGCTTTCCTTCCTCCCCACTCCGGCTGGATGGGCTCCTAAATAATTTCTAACGGGAGGGGCTCCAAAATATACTGCCCTAAACTTCACCAGGTGAAGGCCTGGAGCCGCAACAGCGCCCGCGGAGGGGCGCGGAAAGGCGCTGAGCAGGACGGCCCCGCTCAGCCGGCAGCCGTGATTGAACACGGGATTAGCACAATAGAGCCCTAATCGAGGGGAAACGTTTCTTTTCACGCTAAGTACCATAATTAATGGTATGAATCAATTAATTTGACTTTTATTGTGTAGCAGAACAGCGCAACAAATGGAACGGGGGGCTGCGGAGTTGGGGTTTTTCCTCCTTTTTCCTGGGAGAACCTTTTCGGTTCGACGGGGGAACACATAACGGGGGTGTGAGAGTGTTGCTGTGGGTATGTGAGTCTGTGTGTGTGTGTGAGTGTATGTGTGTGTGTGAGGGCGGTGCGCGGGTGCAGAGACAAGGGTCACGGTCCATGGGGCGCGGAGATCCACTGGGAAACGCGGAAAAACGGAGCGCAGAGAGAAACCAACATGAAAGTCCCCCCCATCTTGCCCGCGGCCCCTTCCACGGGGTCTGGCCCGCCCGGAGCGACCCGTCGAGGCTCTGGGAGAGGCCGGGACATCGACCTTATCGAGACTCCGATGGACTTTAGGGAAAGGGAGGGAATTGCCTTCCCTAAGCCAGCACCGCTCGTAGGAAATCGTTCGCTCCTGGGACATTTTCCTAATTTAATTACAGTTACCGAAATCGGACAGCACGTGCGAGAACTACAAGAGCAAAAGGCTCGGCGGGACAGATTAAAAAGCCAAACACCGTGAGCCACCCGTGGCTGAGGGCCTGGGCGGGGGGTCCCGCACCGGGGCAGGGGTGGGCGGCCGGGCCCCCTCCCGCCCCGCCGGGCACCTCTCCCCGGGCCGGGGCTTACCTGGGGCCGCGGCAATACGGTCCTCACATTCACACACACTCCCTCATTTCCTACTTTTTCTTATGCTAAGGCCCGCAATGATTAAGTCGTTAACATCTCTGGAAAAAGAAAAAAAGAAAAAAAAAAAAAAAAAAAAAAAAAAAAAGAACCGGCTAAAAGGTTCTTTATTTATAGTTTCCCTTTGTTATTTTACGTCTTTTTTATTTCTCTCTGCAACTAAGCTAATAGATTAATCAATAGCCATTTTCTGATCTTCCGTTCCCAGCTGGTGGTGCGCTGCTAGAAAAAAAAATTAAAAAAAAAAAAAAAAAAAAAAAGAAAAAAAAAAAAGAAAACCACAGAAAAGCGGTTTCAGAGCCCAAACTTGATACTTTTAAGCCCTATGACGGCGGCGCACCCGCCGAGCCTGCGCTGCCGAGCGCACCGAGATCGGCGGCTCCGGCCCGGCTCACCGAGAGCGGTGGAGGCGGCGACGAGCCCCCGGTGCGGCAACTTGTCCGCGGTGGCCGGAGGGTCCCGGTGCTGTCGGGGGCCGTCGGGGCGGGCGGAGCGGAGCCGCCGCCGGTCTTTGTTGACAGTCCATGAAACAACTCGAGTTTTGCATGACTTCACAGCGGGGCGCCTGACGTCAGGCGGTCACGTGGAGCCTCCTCCGAGTATATCTTTAACGGGAAAGTAATCTATCAGGCAGTCGGGACCGCCGCGCTGCCAAAGTGGCGAGCGAGGCCCCGCGACCCCCGGCCTCCTGCCCCCGCCCCGCCCGGCCGCCGGGAGCTCCGTCCCCTCCCTCCGCCGAGGGGGGGAAAAAAAAACAACCAGCAAAAAAAAAACAGACGAGAGGAGGAAAGAGGGAAAGAAACCCACCCCCCCCCAGCCATCCAGCGCGGAGGGCGGCGGAGCGGTGCGCGGCGCGGCCGCGGAGCGGAGCGGTGGAGCGGCGGCGGCCCGCGGAGCGGCCCCATGCGCGGCGGGAGCGCAGCGCGGCGGGTGGGACCCAGCGGAGCGGCCGCCTGAGCCCCGATGCCCGGCGGCGGGAGGTGACCCGGCGGCCAGCGCAGCCCCGCGCACGGGAGAGCGGCAGGCGCGGCCGCCCCATGCCCAGCGGGGACGGCCCCATGCCCGCTCGGGTGTAGCCCCCGGGGCCGGTCGGAGCCGCGGCGGGAGCGGGGCGCGGGGGGACCCCGGTGCGGGCGGGAGGCCCCGCCGCCGCCGCCCCGCCGAGCGGGGATGACCCTGTCGGGCGGCGGCAACGCCAGCGACATGTCCGGGCCCGCCGTCCCGGCGGCCGAGGATGTGGATATCGACGTGGTGGGCGAGGGCGACGACGGGCCGGGCAAGGACAGCGAGGGCGAGGCCGGCAGCCCCGCCGCCCTGCCGCGCCTGCCGCTGGACGAGGCGGCGGAGCTGGCGCTGCCCGCGGAGCCGGGCGCGGGCGCGGAGAGCGGCAGCAGCGGCAGCGGGAGCCCGGCCGGAGCGGCCCCCGGCGGTGCGGCCGAGGGCGGCAAGGGAGGCGGCGAGGAGGGGGCGAGCGGTGGCGGCGGCGGCGGGGCGGCTGGGCAGAGCAAACCCAAGAGCAGCCTGGTGAAGCCGCCCTACTCGTACATCGCCCTCATCACCATGGCCATCCTGCAGAGCCCGCAGAAGAAGCTGACGCTCAGCGGCATCTGCGAGTTCATCAGCAACCGCTTTCCCTACTACCGGGAGAAGTTCCCCGCCTGGCAGAACAGCATCCGCCACAACCTGTCCCTCAACGACTGCTTCGTCAAGATCCCTCGGGAGCCCGGCAACCCGGGCAAGGGCAACTACTGGACGCTGGACCCGCAGTCCGAGGACATGTTCGACAACGGCAGCTTCCTCCGCCGGAGGAAGCGCTTCAAGCGGCACCAGCAGGAGCACCTGCGGGACCAGACGGCGCTCATGATGCAGGGCTTCGGTGCCTACGGCCTGGCCGGGCCCTATGGCCGCCCCTACGGGCTGCACCCCGGCGCCTACACTCACCCTGCGGCGGCCGCGGCCGCGCTGCAGTACCCCTACATCCCCCCGGTGGGGCCCATGCTGCCGCCCGCCGTGCCGCTGCTGCCGTCCAGCGAGCTCAGCCGCAAAGCCTTCAACTCCCAGCTCAGCCCCAGCCTCCAGCTGCAGCTCAACAGCCTGGGCGCCGCCGGCTCCATCGTCAAGTCGGAGCCCAGCAGCCGCCCGTCCTTCAGCATCGAGAACATCATCGGCGTCCCGGCCGCCAGCTCGGCCGCCAGCGCACAGACTTTCCTGCGGCCGCCCGTCACCGTGCAGTCGGCCCTGATGGCCCACCAGCCGCTGGCGCTGGCCAGGACCACCGCGGCCATCGCCCCCATCCTCAGCGTGCCTACCAACATCATCGCGGGGCAGTTCCTGCAGCCCGCAGCCCCCGCCGCCGCCGTGCAGGCCAAGTGGCCGGCGCAGTAGCCCCGGGCGGTAGCCCCGGCCATCGCCCCGGGGGGCTCCGGCCGCCCCCTCGGGGTTCCGCGGCCGCCGGGGCTCGGGGCGGCAGCGGGCACCGGCCACCGCCGCTTGTACATATTTGTATCAAAAATCACTGACGTTGCTTTCGGGGTTTTTATTTTTCTAAAGAGGCGAAATGACGGTCGCGATTAAGGAGCTGCGAACTTTCACTTTTTTTGAAGGTTCCGGCGCTCCGGGCGGTTTTATCCGAAATAAACGAACAAACGAGAAAACGAAATTGTATTAAGAAAATAAGCGTGGGAAATTTTAAATATTAAACGAACGAACAAAAACAAAAAAAGAGAGAGAGAATTTTGGAGAAAAAAAAAAAAAAGGAGGAAAAACGCTGTCATTCTATTATAGAAGTCTGTTTATATATGAATGAATATATGTATTCTAAATGTTATCTCTTCGTGTTGTACACAACTTTGTAAATAAATTTTTAAAATGCTCTGCCCGTCTCTGTGTGAGCGGCGTCTCTGTGACCCCCCGCCCGCAGGACGGGCTGTGCGGCCGCGGAGAACCGCGGATGGGGGAGAACCGCGCGGGGCGCGGCCGCGGAGCTCCGGTTCTCCATCCCTGCAGAGGTTTGGGTTCAGCGGGTGGCGGTGCGGGGCGTTGCGGGCGGGTTTCCCACGGCACCTGCCGCCGCTCGGGATGTGCTTTGCGCGGCCGCGCAGCGAAAGCCACCGGCCCTGCTCGTTACCGGAGCAGTCGCAGCGGTGGGGCCAACATCACACCGATTCCTCCAAAATCCAACCTTCCCCTGCAGATCCGAGGCTCCCTCAACCGCGCCGTGATGTTTCCCTAAATATTTAAATTTTTCTCGGCCTGACTTCGGCCCCGCATCCCGGGGCTGAGGGATTCCCGGTCGGAATAGGTACGCTTTGGGTCGGCGTTCGGGGCTAATTATAAGGGAAATTGTTTTAAATAAAACACGTTGGGTCGGTTTAAGCAATGTTTGTTATTTTTTTTATATGAAAAAAATTATATACATTCAAGCCGTGTCCGTGCGATGTCCGAACGCGAATCTTTCGTTTCGATCAGGAAAATTATCGCTGTTAAAGCAGCGGTTCCTCCCGCGGGAAGCAATCGGCCTTTCCCAGGTAATTCCCAATAGCTCAGCTTGAACGGCAGCTGCGAAAAATTAAAAAAAAAAAAAAAAATTCAAGTACATTTTCGAGGCTAAAGTAAAGAGCTGGCCAAGATGGAAAAAAAAAAAAAAAAAAAAAGAGAGAGAGAAGAGAATTAATATGTAGCGTTATAATATTTAAAGCGGCGCTTTGTGGTGTCGAGCCTGGAGACATCTCGGTCTCTTCTGTGCACTGACAGTGTTTGGTACTTCATTATCTTCTTCTTACAACGTGACATTTTTTGTCACCTTTGAAAACCTTCGTGGATTTTGCTTTTCCGCCCAAATAATTCGTTGTCTTTGTTAGGAAAATCGGCGGCGTGAAATGCAGGCGAGATGCGGCAGGCTCGGCTGCGGGAGGAGCTGGACCAGGCGCTTATTTCCCTTCCAACAACCCGCTGGCAGCCGCGGATTTAAAATAAATATATAAATAAAAGTGTCCTTGCTTTCCTGGTAAGCAGTAAATATTATTTCTTCCTAAGTAAATATTTATACCTCTGCATACATAGACTAAAATAAACCGAACAGCCCCGGTGATGAGATCGTTTGAACTTTATAAATAAGGACTCGCTAATCATCTGCCAGGGACAGGGAGAACCTGGAGGGAGCGGGGACACGCGGGGCCTTGCACGGGCACCCACGGCCCTGCAGAACCCCGCGGAGCGGAATGTGGCGGTGCGTGGCGGTGTCGGAGGAGCGGGTTGTTTCACAGTTGTGTCTGGGTAATCGGTTTTACACAAACAGCAAATGGTGGGTGATCTGTGCGATTGAGGGGGTTTCTATATTTAGCGGATCCCCTGGGAAAAAAGGAAGGAGCTTCTGCCCGGGGTCGCTGCGAGGCTCAAGAAGCTGCTGATCCAGGGCTTCCAGAGGACACCGGATAACAGGGGCTCATTCCATTCCCCAGCCTTTGTTACTTATAAAATTACTCGCTCATATTTCCCCACATAGCAGCAATACCTCGGCTCGGCATCTGCGCGCCGGCGGCGGCGGCACCGGCAACTTTCCTCCCGCCGCCTCCCACCGGGAACCGCTTCTACCTCCGTTCCCTCTGTCCTCTCTTTCTCTCCCCGGTCTCCCCTCGATCGCCGAGGACAGCGGCCGCCAGGAGAAGCCTTTTCCCGGGAAGGGGAGGCTGCGGCCCCCGGGGCCGGGCAGCACCGGGAGGGCGCGGGGCTGGGGAAGGACCGCGGTGAGACCCCCGCCCAGCCGCCCCTCCCTGGGGGAGCCGCCGGTCCCGCAGCCGCGGGGCCGTGAGCGGCAGCGGGGCCGTGCGGGCGGGGGGCGCTCCCGGTGGCCGCGGGGCTGCAGTGGCGCACCGGGGCCTGCGGGGGGCGCGGCAGCTCCCGCTGCACCCTCGGGGAACGGGTGCGCCCCCCCGGGGCCGGGAACACCCCCGGGACAGGGAGAATCCCGCATCCTCTGGAACATCACTCGGGGCTGGGATCACCCCCACAGCCCCCGGGGCCGGGAGCACCCCGGGGAACCGGGAGAGCTCCAGGGGCCCGGCAGGATACCCAGTGTCCGCAGCCGCTCGGGACGGCACCGAATCGGCACAAAGTTACCGGCGGGGCTCGGCGGTCCCGGGGGTGCCAGAACTCGGTTCCCAAATAGGGGAGGGTTTGCAGCCGGGACGGGAGAGGCTTTCTGGCACTGTGCTGCCCAGAGGAGTGGGCGCAGCCCCCATAGCCGGACTGGGAGCGGCAGGCCGGGGGGAGCCGTCCTGGAGAACCATGTCCTGGTTTGCTTTCCGCACCCACGGGCCTCAACCAGACCACAGAAACTCTTTTCCTTGTTCTTTCTCTGCTTTTCCTTTCCACAAACTTGTCCGACGCATATGGCACAACTTGACACGGCCGGTGACAGATGCCCATTAGTGTAAGTCGTGTCACGTCGGTCCCTGGGGTGTGTTGGAAGTAACTAGATCCGAAACACGGCGAAAATGACCCTCCTCGCAGCCCGGAGAGTTTACCCAGAGCCACCCCCACCCCGCTGACACTCTCCCCCCTTATTTATTACAATTATGGCCCCGACGCTCCCTCCGTCCGGGGAAGGAATGTACAATGGGATCTGGCCCTAATCCTCTAAACCATCACACTGGTTGAAAAAGGGACGAGATGGGCTCATCAGGGCAATTTCCTCTGCTGATGCGGGGCTCCCGAGGAACTCTCGCTTTCCCTGCGGGGGCCGCGGGAGTGGAGCCCCCTTTTCCCCCCACTCCGCTCTGCCGTCTCCCAACACCGCCTATTTATAGCACCATGGTCTGTCCCTGGGCAGAGCGCGGGGCTCAAAGTTACGGGCTAATGGGTATTGAAAGGCTGCGACGAGCGCTGGAAAAGGCAGGGAAAGATCTTTTGTGGATATTGTGTGTTTGTCGCGCGTGGACGTTGCTCCTTTGTAAGGAGCCTCAGCGTTCGGGGCATCCCCTCTCCGCCCCCAGTTCCCCGGCTCAGCAAAGCCGTGTTCCTGGCGGGGTAGCGTTCGGAGACCCCACTTCGGAGCTGCGGGAGGGCAGAACAGAGGCCGGGTTTCCCAGAGGAAACACCTTTGGGAGCGCTCCGGGGGCACCAAGGGAGCGATGCCCATCGGACACCTTCCTTCTCCCTGTCCTACAGGGAGATGGCTGGAGAAAATCATCCACAGGGGACACCGAACCCCTTTGGGACACGGCTCCCTGTTCCTCGGGGGTTACTGGTTTGGGTCCGCGCCAGCGGTACCGGGGGCGTTTAATCGGGCACCCCCCGCACATCCCAGCGCTGCCCGACTCCGAGCGCTCCTCCCGGCTCTGGGAATGCGGCTCACTCGCTCCCCATCCCACCGGCCCCGGCTTTGTGACCTGGGCCAGAAACAAAGGAAGGGGGGGGGGGGCAACATTTCGCTTTGGGAAGCGCCATCCCTCGTCCTTCATTGGGCCCTCGGGGGTGTTCCACTCCGGGAAAGACACAAGGACTTGCTTGGGGGGGGGGGGGGGGGGGGGGAGATTTTTCTCCCTCCTGCGGGTGTGGGGCAGGGGGACAGTTCCCGAAGGAATTCGATGGGATTTTGCCTCCTGGGGCAGCTCGGGCAGTTTTGTGGACTCTTCCTCGTGTTCCAGACGCACTCGGGGCCCGCCTGTTTCGGGGGGTCAGCCNAATAACCTGCAAGGTAAAACAGAAAACTTCATTTTTTGCGGTAGGAGTCCACAGGCAACTCTCATGGACTGGGGGTGGCTGAGCGCTGCTGTGCTCCCCGGCCTCGCCGTTTGGGGAATTCAGGGCATGGAAAATCCTGGAGGGGAGAGTAGAGGGAGAGAAGAGAGGGGCTGAGGGAGGAGGACTGAAATAGGAATCTGCCTCGGTGATTCTCCCCCGGGCTTAGGCTGGGAATTCACTTTGCATCGCATGTTTTCGGTGTCATAAACCAGCTTCAGCCGCGGTGGATTCTAGAGGTGTAACTCTGTATTCCAAGTTACTTTGTAGCTGACGAGTTTTTAGGATTATGCTTATTTTACAGAGGTGTGATCTCGAGACACCCCTTAAAATCCTATCACAGTCTTGAAATAGAAGCATTTCACTTAGCAGCAGTATAAGTGATGGAGTACAACAGATTGGATAAACTGTGTAAAATTTGATGGGCATAATCTGCCATTTTCCACAGGATTACGGCTCCAAACACCTTGGTAAAACAGCAGACAGGTGTGATTTTTACCTTTGTCAGTTTAAGACCTCAGACTTTCATCTCTTCACACTGTTTGGGCTGAGGTAGCACCACAGTTGACAGAAATGATGGCAGATGTAGGAGGTATCAGGATGTCCAAGCAATTTACACTCAAAAATGGTTCGGATAGTGGAAA